ACATATTTATTTCCTTATTGTTGAAGAAGTCACATGACTGTCTATGCTGGGGATTGTCAGCATGGTTGCGATAATTTGAGTCAAGATGCTGCTTGGTCCAAGAGAATCACACGATTTCTCAGTTTTGTGACCTGAGCATTATTTTTCTGCTTGATGCCAACGGTTCTGTCACGGCGCAAGCAAATCGCAGGTCGACCTGAGGCCAGCTAATCACAAGTCTATCACAGCAGGTCGTCCAGTCATTTGAACGGTGGCAAAGACATTCCTTTGTTATGGTTCCTTTGTTACCCGTGACCGGACTTGTGATGTATTTGGTATTGATCGTAAATACCTTAATGATCACAACACTTAACAAAACAATTTAAACAAAAAAGTTGTTTATATGGTTTAGGGACGGCCAAAAAGTCAAGGTTATCTGGACTATCAAATAGCTGAAAACTTGATAGCGGCTAGACATGAAATTTGAGAGCTTGTTTTATGCTCTAGTTGACTGGGTTTTTCTTAGTCTGAACGGAATAAAACACATGCGCTTACGGGAACTGCAAAATGCAAGTTTCATTGAAATACAACCTGTTTTTCCATGCACAGTATGTACATGAACATGTTACCTCTCCTTGAACTTATGTTTTTGTACATCAGTATCTTTGCAAAACCATGTACTGTACATGTGTGGTGTACATGTACATGCACAAACGTGTAAACCTAGTGTATTGCACAAGTTTCGCACACCAGTAGCACAGTCTGTCAGCATAGACCCTCAGCATAGACCGGTGCCCCGAGTCCTTGGGCATTTTGCCAAGATACAGAGCAGGCATTTCTGACACATTTGTTATTTTGCTCGCTCAGGGAGGATTCGCTCCGTTCAATTTTCCCGATTGATTTTTCACATCTTAGCAGACAGTATCTGGCTCAAAGTGGCGGGATCTCAATGTCGGTGCTTTAGTCAGTGTGTACCGGTTATATTTGACTTCATACAAGGATGATATATATGTAATGTATTTTGACAATTTATCAAGTTGTGCGTGTACGAGAATGCATCTCCTAAGCAACGTACTATACATGTACATAGGCCCATGTCTATAATCTATAGGTAGGCTCCGTACTTAATCAAAAGAGGGTGCTTTCTAACTACTTTGAGAGCCCCGTGGACGGAACACACTGCATGCGCATTCTGGTGCACATTCTGGTACGCACCAAGTACGCACAGCTACATGTAGTTTTACTCTGAATGTGCGCAAAGCCATAGCGTCTTTGCGTAAGCATCAGGCGTCGCCGGGCAATGTGTTCCAATGTCTCTCCCAGTGGACTCCCTTTTGTACCGTTGAGGGGTTCTAGTGCATGGAGCCCATAGCTGTGAAAACACTGCACTGAAAGACACATGAACAAAACTAAGAACAAAATTCTGTGAACATTTCAGTTCAAATGGTCTGAGAGAGATTAAATGTAAACACTAGTGTACAAAATAATGCAAAAATCTATGCTCAATTGCTATTGCTCTATCAATAGATGAATAACGATGGACTACATCATGCTAATTATCCGGTAACACCAGTACCCATCCTTCCTGTCAATTTCCAAAACGGCCACGAATACCAAGTTCCTTCCCTTACAAGGTAGCATTTGCATGAGTCTGTAAACGTGTGGTTCAGTAAAGGTCTGCTCAGCTACGGAAATGCCAGTCAAGTTAAATCATCTGCTGTAGAGTGCATGTACCATTTTCTATGGCTCACCAATACGTGTAACTTAATAGCTTTCCTCTATGGGCTCCGTGCACAAGTACCCCCTCAACGGTAAGAAAAGGAGAGTTGGGGGAGACCACCGGGAGAGACATTCGAACGCATTGCAGATGACGCCTGACACTCACACGAAGACGCTATGGCTGTGTGCACATTCTGAATCAAATCAGTTGTGCGCTATGAACCAGTATTCGCACACGGTGCGTCCTGTCCACGGTGCTTTTGAAAGTGGTCAAAAAGCGCCCTCTCTGGTTCGCGCACAGAGCCGATAGCAGCATACTGCTGTTCCCTGCTCAAAATCCTTGCGTTTTACATGTATGAAGAAACGGTGTAAACATGTACATGTATAACAGACTTGAAATGGATACCACACGCTAAAAAGAGCAAAGCCCATCTACATGGAAAATACTCATTCAAAATCGCTCCTCTTGAACTTGACTGGTTTAATATACACGTACATAACTATGCTATTTATATCTGTACTTTACATGTATACCATCCCTCTGTGGTACTTTGCAAAGTATTTTTACTGTATCAGTCGAAACTTTATAACAAGTCACCTTCGTGTCATTCTCCAGTAACTTTGATCAGGCTTTGATCGGAAGCTTACTTAGTTTCTTGGAGTTTAAAATTTGTTGGGAGTTCAACATAGAAATTGACACCCAGATGGCTTGATATGGACAATCTTTGAAGATTTTATTAACGTTCAGGCAAAATCCCAGGGAGGTCAACAAAGCCATAGTAAAGGGAAAAGAAGGAAGCCATGTGTTTATAATCAATATTTGTGAATAAAAATAACTGTAGATGCCCTTTATTTTGGTTGATGTTTAAAAAGCTGGTCGACATTTTCGTTGTTGGGATGTTGTACCAGAAAATGATGTCCGTTTGGATACCTGATCTGACCCAGTTACAAAGTTAAGCTGCCCTGGGTTTACCGGATTTGCCAGTAGAAAAACTAGAGCAAATTTCATGTCCAGTTCCTGTTTGCAATGTGATGGCCCAGCCCAAGATTCATGGGTCAACTGAACTTACATGAACAGTGTTACCCTACATTTATCATTGGTAAAATGTATGGTCTTCCTCAAAGTGAACATATCCCAGAATTGAATCTTCCATTGGAGATGGAACTTTTCTCTCTTTGCTATTTTTTGGGTTAAAACGTGAATTCAAGATGAAAACAGTGGTATTCATGTTATTTTCCCGAGCTAGTGATGTTCACCTGCAGGACACATTGATAAATACATGTACAGACCTTTATCATGCTGCCACCATTTTAGTCATGTTCCCTGTATCCAATAACAGTACTGAATGATAATCTTTTTTGTGCAAAAAGGAACCAGACTATTTTTTCTTCCAGCCTTGTTTTTGGTTACGTTGATTTGAATGGGGAAAAATCAAGATGGCCGCAACATGATAATGGTCTTTTGTGTTGTATCAGCAGCTGTTCTCCTTTTTAGATTTCGCTCATTCCCGTTTCAGTTTCTTCTTTTCATAATTCTGTCCTTGTTACCTGGTTCTTTAATTTCTGTGCATTTGTGATTCCTTTTCTTCACCCTTTTGTTAGCATTCCTTACATTTATCTTTCCTCACCACATCTTTGTAATATTCCTATCTCCGTCCTCTTTGCCTTCTTTTGCCTGTCTCTTCTATCCTTCCCCATCTTTATCTCTTTCCCTCCATCTTCATTTCCCGTTTCCTTCCACCATCCCACCCCCATTTCCATCTCTTATCCCAAGCTTCCCTTCTTGTCTCCACCCCGTCCATCTTCTGTTGTTCTAAACATCCTAACATTTGTCCTTATACAAGAAATATTGCTCCTCCTTCCTTCACCCCGTGTTCCCCCTCCTAATCCTTCCTCTTCCGATCCCACCCTCGTCTCCAGTTCCTGCTTCCCCTCTGCTCAGACCTCCTCCATCTTTAAAGGGCTATCACTCGCCGACAACCCCTCATGTAGCCGCGACGCTGAAAGACAAGGGCTTAATGAGAGTGCGGCCCAGTAATTGAAACACGGGCGCTGGGGTGTAATGAAGCAGAAGCGGTATGGGCGACGTCTTTCACTGATCGTTATGCGCCCAGCAGATGTAGAACTCGGAGTTAATCTTCCCTGGCTGTGCGTACTGATGAACAGCCTTGTTTGCCACTTTGTCGCAGAAAGATTCCCCCTAGTCAGTTGGGACATAACAAATGGAAACAGTCCGACAACGCTTGAGTCACTTTTGAAATTGTCCTGTAATGATGAATTTATGAGCTCGACATCCCCCCAGGAAATGGTTCTTTTTTCATCAGTCACAAAAACTGCTTATGGTGATTGAGAGAAAATAAACTAGCGGAATGTTTTTTAAGAGACTGACATCGTGGTTTGGGGAAACAGTTGTCAGGATGTGACATTTCTGCACAATGTTTAAAATCTAGGTAGATCGTGATAACACAGATGTCTACAACTGTAGGATAATTGCCCCAGGCTACGTACATTTGATCTGGCGCAGGCTCAACAAGCAACGGGGAAATATCGGTATTTGTAAGCAAAACCTCCATTTGCCTGAGTTTTTATAAGGTGTCCTGCACTTTTAAGTCCGATTTAGTCTTTTATCTCCGGATTTGCGAGGCGAGATTCCGCACTTCCAAAACAAAACAGAAAAACACCGCTGACACCGTTTCTGCCCTTTTAAGTTCATCCATGGTAGGGTGGGTAGGCCGCAATACAATACCAAAAATTTGCTGTCCTAGATTCATCGTGCAAAAAAATGTTCGGTGTTAAGAACCTCCGAAAAAGTGCATTAAACCATTTTCCCTGTGTCTCTCTCTTGTATTGAAACGGATTAACTACGATTGTTAACCGTGCTTTGGGACAACGCTGTAAAGTCAGTCATTGTTGAGATTTGATGAGCCATACTGCGTCGCCATTTATCCACGGGATGGGATTGCGAGGGCAAATCCGGTCACGGCGTCCCAGCCGATTCAGAAAACTCGTCTGACCGTACTTTGGTCTGGATAATGACTTGTGTTGCTCAGTGCATTATCCATGGACATATTCCCCGTGAAATCATAACTGCTTTTAACCACTCTAGCAAAATAAACATTCGGCTTTTCTTTATTTTTTTCCAAGCTGTGGTGAAAATGTAATACATAATTTATCAATAAAAATGAAGTTTCAGCACAAATTTTCTAGAGGGTGCCATGGTAAAAATGTTCTTGTCTTGCAAATTCGAAGCAGTGCGTGATGAACCATTGTCAAGCATTAATCATAGAACACCGTTCATTAACATGGATGTGGAAAGTGTGAAAACGCACTTGCTTTCTCAGTGTAATGGGAGTGTGAACTTTCACAACAAATTCATCAATTTGGCTGCATCTTTGCAAAAAAAGGGGAAACTATAGAACAACTAACAGAACCTTTCCACCAAGTTTGAACAAAATCTGTGACGTATGGTGCCATGGCCCGTTGAATTGGCACGGAATGACCCCGGGCAATTCCACGGTTACTCACGTTACATTTTTGATGTACTATTGAGTTTCCTTGGGCTGTAATTACCTTACTGAAAAGGTTTAATAACTGTTATCCCTATGGTAGATAGAGTAGACCTAGACCTACCTAAGCACCAAAGATGACATCCAGAAAAATGTGTTATGTATAATAAACATGACGCACAAAATCGGTTACTCACGTTACGAAAATGTAACGTACATCAAAAATGTAACGTGAGTAACCGTGGAATTGCCCCCTAGACATAAGGTTTGCATGTGGCCTACATGTACCTTTCCTATTGGTCAATAGTTTTATGGCCGTTGTTTTTATACAATGTACATCTTCGGGTAAATTTTTTTTTAAAGTCAGAAAAAGTTTTTCAAATCCAGGTTTTCCGAAAAGTCTTTTGTGTCACTCGCATGGATTTAGAAAACAAATCAATCACTTAAATTCAAATTTTTTTTCTCTGTTACTTTCTTAATTGCAGTATCTCTCGGCAACAAAGAGTCTCCCAATGGAGCCATCACCGACGGCCACAATGGCCACCAGCGAATGCTGCCCTCTATGGGCCCGACCATGGACAAGATGGACTTTGATCAGCCGGACAGCAGCAGTAGTAGCGGGGGCGGAGTCAGCTTGGAAGGGGAGGCGGAGATGCTGGTTCATGTGAGTAACGCACTCATGACTCATTGTGAGAGTAGCTATTTAAAGTGACTCAAATTTGAGTCATTTGGGGTTTTCTTAAATTGACTAATTTTGACTTCATCCCCAATATGGAAGTTCAACAGCATACAGGGTTTGGAAGTAATGTCTCAGAAGTCTCTCGAAGACGACACTCCCTTTTTTGGTCATGTGAGGTGCATCCAAAGTCCGGCCCCTGCTAGACTTGCTTTGGATGTTGCCATCCAGTTTCATCATGGTCATCGGCCAACTAATTTGAAAAGACCTCGTGGTCCTCCCCAGGCTTACCTGGCTAAAGCAGGTAGCTGATACTGTCCTGTTGCTCCCAAGCGATTGGTCGGGGAGGTTGGAGGTCACTACATCCCTCCAATGGTCTTGTACAATAGTATGGTAGTAAAAGAAGTGTGTTTGTCAATAACACACTACTTAGTAGTTTTTTTAAGTGTCTCTTTATTAAGGCCTTTTAACACTGGAGCCTTTCGCACCGGGTTGAACCCAGTGCTGTCCAGTTGTTGATTTTTCAACCCCGATTTCAACCCCGCATCGTTTCACACTTGTTTGGGCAAAACAACCTTAGTTCGCTCGGTTACTACTGTTTTGAACCCTGGCGAGATTTTCAACCCGGGTTGAAAATCTCAACTCTAGTCTGGAGCAGGATTGAGTTCAACCCGGGGCGAAATCAATCTCGAGGTTGATGCAGGGTTGGCGCAGGGTTGAAATTTTCTCAAGTGTGAAACGCCGCACGTTCTCAACCCTGCGTCAACCCCAGGTCAACCCCGAGATTTGTCTGGTGTGAAAAGGCCTATTTGACACTGTTGTGGAGTTACTTGTGCATGTATTCCTATTGCTGGTTAGTTTCCTAGACGCTTTTGTAATGTTGCGTAAACTTGCCCTCTGCAGGCAATGAACGGCTTCCTCCTGGTGGTGCAGCAAGACGGCCAGGTCGTGTTTGCCTCGCCCTCCATCCAAGAATACTTGGGCTTTCAGGATGTAAGTATCAAGAGGCTAAACCCTAGATATGGTAAGGGAGGGGAAGGTTTTTGGGGTAAAGATAAGGGAAGAATGCAAAGTCGAATTTGAACCGAGAGGTTCTCCGTAAAACCCCATAAAAACCTGGAGGTAAGCCTTAGATCATTGAAAGTTTAGTTTTGCATTCGCCCCTAATGCAATTGACTCCTGAAGTATTATGGACTAACAGGTACTAACAGGTTCTCATTGACCAAGTAGATATATTTTTTTCCCTTCCAACTAATTTGCACTTACGTTGTCAATTATTAATTATTAATTTATTAACCAAATCTAATATTGAGAGACGTGCAAAGTACAGGGTACCAGGGGTAGGTATCAAAACAGACATTAAAAAATAAAGAAAACAAAATCATTTTATACATGTACAGTTCAAGGAAAGATTAAAATCAAATACATCTGAAGTTCTAGAATTAAATTACAAAAAAAATTGAATAAATACTTTGAAAGGTGTAAAAAGTGTTTCAAATTTGTAAAACAACATTTCCAATACCATGTACCGGTAGATAGTAATATTAACAATGAAAGGAAAACCTACAAAGAAAAGTAAAGAAATAACATTTGCGATGTACAGTTTCATAGCTGGTTGAGTTTGGAGCCCCAAAGTTTCCTGGGAATTCCTCGGGCGTCATGCCTGGTTTTACCAAATGCACCTATCAGGGCGCAATTACACTCGCAACCAATGCGGCATTGCCAATATTTAGATAACGTATTCCTAAATGTGCAAAAACGCCGCGATTGAAATTACATTGACAGTCATCAGAGAGGTGTAAACAAGCCCCTCCAATTTCACCGATAGCCGGGATATTTGCACTTTCCTGATACTCCAGCCAGCCACTTCAAACACACACTCCCCTCATAATTACCATCCAACTCCCCCTCCCCCCCCCCCCCCCCCAGTAAAAAAAAAACACCAGAAATAGTACAGTGGTACGATGCGCCAGACTGCGGGTGTCCGAAGCCCTTTGGAGAAGATGACGGGAAAGCGTAGAGAAACCTCTTTAGCGACTAATGACGCAGACTAATTTGCTTATCGGCAGCGGGGACCTGCGAACTGCTTCACACCGGGGCCTGAAAGTATGCACTGATTATGAATAATTTACCGTACGGACGGCTCGACGCTGGCTGTTTTAGAAAATAAATTGAGAGAAGACAGAAAGCACTTAAAAAAAAAAAACCCATAGTGTTTGCCTGAATGCATAAAAACGTGCCTCTTGCGATGATGTGTCGTAATCCTGGCTTTTATTGTGAGACGGGTTTTCATCTTTTTAACGACGCATTAAGACACGACAGTTTATAGCCAACGCTGGGCCGAGGGTAATTAAACCAAGTATGAATACATAGGTCCTCAGATCGCAAGACCCCCCCCCCCCTCCCTCACACCAGCCTCTGTTCCCTCCTTTCTCATTATTCAATCATGACAGCGAGAGATCCTCGCTAAATTGATCAGGCCTGTTTATCTTGTTAAAGAGTGCGTCGGGCTGGCATACATGATAAATAGGCGGAACACTCCAAAAGTGCAAGGCGAAGTCAATCCCAAAAACCATCAGCATTAAAAAACACACTAGCGAATCTCAGATACCTTTTGTTTTTCTTTGTCAGATAATTCTTCACTGTTTTAAAGCCAGCCTGTCAGAGCACCGACAGTTTTATGATCTTCTCTATTTTTCGTAACTTAATTGGAAGAACGGAAGCAATACCCTATGTGCGTGCTTGGTTATTTAAGTGCTTAATAAGTGAAAGTATTAGGTATCCATACATGTAATTTGTTGTGCGTGCTACTTTCGTTTCTAGATATACCTTAAAATATTGGATGATTCTCTGCTAGTCAGTGCGTGAAGTTTGTTGCCCATGACTACTGCCCTAAAGCTAAATGAACAAAATAACTTCGGAATAATAACCGGAAACTGTAATTCTGAATGGCCCCAGTGTTAGGTATCAGTGTCGCACAGACACTACAGGGTGTCCGCAAAAAATAATTGTGCAAGCAGATATCCTTTAATTTCTCAAAAACTAGTTACCCTGAGTATTTCATCTGAACTGTGTGAATCCCATATCATATTGTTTATGCCGCCCCCTCCCCCCACTTTTTTCCTCCCCGAATAAAACGTGTAGTCTACATTTGATTCTATAGCTCGAAAATGATGTTTAAATGATGATCTTTTGCTCAAAAACAATTGTTAAAGTGGTCTGGAGTTGCCTCAGATCGCACCTAGAATCCAAAAATTTTGGGGGCCCTTAAGCGGGCCCTGAACCCTATGTTGTTAGGGATTCGTGCTGGCATTAGTTCTAATCAAGGCATGTCCCCCCCCCCCCACTTTTGAGAAGTGATTGTGACCCTTGTATATGCTGAAGCATTTTAAATTTTCCTTTGACCTACCCCTCCCCCCACCAAAAAAAAATCGAAGTTAAAAATAAAATAAAACATAAAATTTGCTACATTATATTTTTTTCTAAATTTCAGAAATATCCAAGCATTGAGCAGTTTTCTAAGAAAAATACTTCACATTTACTTTGCCGGATGTTGGTTTAGCACCTGTAAGAGTGCATGAGCACTTTCTCAGAGATGTCACAACAGGTGCAAGAATACTACATAACCCCCCCACCCCCTCCCCTTCAACTCCTGACATACCCACAACCTCTACCCCTCGCAACCTCTACCCCAAGAGATGTTCGTGACTGCAGTCTTTGGGGACCAATGTAGGAGTTTTTTATTTCGTTTAAGGTGGCAGCCCTACAGAATAATTTATGGCCACTAAAATTAGACATCTGGGCCAAGGTGGGTTTCGAAACCGACACTGTACTCCACTCTGTCTGCACGCTACCAAAAAATCCGGCAGAGTTGGCTCTGAAGAAAAGGCGTTTCCTCAAAAATGAAGACGAGGATGAAAGTACATTTTACTAAATGAGCAAACAAGCCATTATAAAATAAGTAATACATACAACATGTGCTATCAGAAGGGAAACATAAGGCCAAGTAAAAAAAAAAAAAAAAAAGTAGTTTGTCGTGCAGGCCTTTTGAAAAAATGAAGGAGGCGGGCTTTCTTCCCTTTTTTCTTTCCAAAATGACAGATTTTCAGAGATGGATTCTACCGTATTCTCGACTATTTTGCTGATATCAAATTGTGTCCAAAAGGGGCCGCAACCCTTTCAACATAGCTACCTTTTTATTGGAAACTAATAAAAAGACAATATTGACAATATATGAACAAAATATTTTGCAAATATACGAATTAAAAAGAGAGGGGGAAAAAAAAGGCCGGCGGAAAAACGAAGCAAGAAACTGGTCATTTTGTTTACTTGGCTTAAATTTGCAAACAAGGAGTGAGATCATGAGCAAAGACATAATTAAACCGCCAAAAACAACACCAAAAATAGAAATTTTGAACAATCATTTCCGTGCACTTAACTTTGGTGTAACTAAAAAAGGTGAAAATTTATACATGTATGACCTGTGCACATTACGCAATTATTATTTGTATGTAGCGTAGCAGTCGCATGACTCAGACATTTGGATGAATATATTTCTGGTTGGTTAATTCTGCATTTTTCCTCCTTTACTTGTCTTACTTCATTTTCTTTATTCCTTATATTCACTTATGCTCGTACCCAATAAATTTTACCTACATGTACTTCTTGACTCTTTGTATATTGTAACGCTGAGAAATATGGAAACGAACATTTGTTTGTATGACATGATAACAAAAATGGAAATGATTATGAATATCAAAATGGGATGAACACTTGAGAGATAAATTATGTACGGGGAAAAGGTCGTTGCACTTGCAGTTCGTTGCACTTTATACTCCTCCCTGATTTGAAGTATTTACACAAAGATGAAATGACTACCATCGCTCCCTGCGCCAGCTGTAATGTGGACATACCAGTTTACCAACTTAAAGGGACAAGATCATTGTTTAAATTCGCGTTCTGAATAACAAACTAACCTTCCTTGAAATGTGGAAAGGTCTTTCTTTTTTTTCCCCCTGAAAACATTTTTGAGGGTATGAAGCCAATAGACGGCATATCTCCCAATCAAGTTTCTAAATACAGCCTTTCATGCTTGTAGATTTTCCCTCATTTGTAGTTTACATCATTGAACACTTCTGATTTTGTGTATCAAGGCTGCACCCTCTTTGTATGTGTTTGTACTGAGTCTGTTCATTGGTCCCCACGTAATGTCATTTTTTTTAATGCAGTACTTAAAAATGCACCGTTGCGTCCAATTTAATCTTTTATTCAATTTTCATTTTGCCATTTTAAAGGGCATTTTGGTGAGTTTTTTTGTTTTAATGTAGCGGGGTGCTGTGGTCCAATGGTTACGTTGTTCGATTTGTGTGCCGTGGTACATGGGTTCGAATCCTGACCGTGAGAACATGGTGTTTATGCTCTTAAGCAAGGCACTTTACCATTATTGTTTCGTCCTTTGGATGGGACGTAAAGCCGTAGGTCCCGTGTGTTGTGTAATGCATGTTAAAGATCCCAGTAACACTTATTGCTAAGAGAAGGGGTTTGCCCCGGTGTTTCTGGCAGTGGCTGCAATATGCACCGCAGCACCTTGTCAACCCTTATAAGGTGCTACATAGTGGGTCTCATATTTCTCATGTACTTTATTTACCTTTCTTTAGTAATAGACTAATAACTAGCGCCTTGAGTACCTAATTGTTGGCAGATATGTGCGCTACATGTATATAAGACTCTGTTATTATTATTATTATTATTAATGCAAATGTCCATATTCATGAGCAAAAGTGTGACGTCGTTTCAGGCAGAAACCTCAAAGCTACAGCTATTTCAGCACCAAAATTTGCCAGAATTGTTGATATTTTGCTGTCTTAAATTTTCTTTTCTTTAGTGATGTGTTGTTGTTTCAATACATCAAACAGTAAGCCAATAAGCAAAGTTTTCTCACAAATGTTTTCAATGAGCACATTTTGGTTTCACAATTTGAACAGAAAACCCCTAAAGTGAGCAGTGTCCTGAAATGACATCACAGCAACAGCGCCCTCATTTGTCAGGAAAAGCATGGAACATATTAAATGTTTAAAGAAGTGCACTTTTCAATAAAATTAACCAAAAAGGGATTTCAAATAGTTTTCACGCATTTAAGAAGAGTAGAAAGCTGCACAAATTATGTTGCCAAGTAAGATTCTTGTCATGGGCCCTTTAAAGGGAATATACATCATTTGCTTTTGCTGTAATTTTCAGAAATGGATGGAATTGGGGGGTTGGAAATATATAGCAAATATAGTTACACTGACTTTTTTGAGGTTTTGGGTTCGAAAATGCTATAAAAACCAAGAAAAACAATCATTTTCCTGTAGTCTGGTTCCCTGACTCCATTTAAGAAGAAACAGAGCAGTTTACATACATTGGGGAATTGTAAGGTCAGGGAACCAGTCTAGCTGGCTTCAAGTACCCGTTCATAGGTGTATAATCGATTGCAAACAAGTGCGATGGTCAACTGGGGCCAGTATTTGAAAAAAAGCCAGTTTTTTGATACAAAAATACCACTTTTCTTGAAAATGACAGTATACCAGGTGCCATGATTTTACAGGATGCTTTACACTGTCATCCACTAACAGTCCAGCAAGGTATTTCAAAATGATTTGGTAGTTATATTTTTGATGTTTGCAAATGTTGTATTTTCCCTTTAAGAATTATCTGTGTCAGAGGACTAATGTGATCATCAAAATTATAATCAGCACATTGATTACTTATTGATTATTGGTTTATCCATTGATTGAATGATGTGCTGCAGGCGGACGTCATGCACCAGTGCGTCTACGATCTGATCCACAAGGACGACCGTACCAACTTTCAGCAGCAGCTGAAGTACGAAAATTGCCACGACTACGCTGATGATTTGGACACCCCAGGTGACTAATGATTGATTAATTGATTAATAATCGAAGGGAGGGCGTCGGAGAGAGAGATCTTGCTTTATTATAATGTGATTAAAAGCGCTTTTTTAGGGTAGATATTTCATGCAGTATGTGATGAAATATGGATTTCGTTATTACCTTGGATTACATGTAATCCCATTGCAATGTACAGGGGGCAGGGCGGAGTTACATTCTTTAGAGGGAGGGGGTTATCGGTAATGGTATATATTTATGATTAGGAACCCATGTTACTGTTGCACGTCCATCCTGTATAAGTTTGTTTGGAAAAAAAGTACCAGTGATTCCCAACAAGAATTGGAAAGCAGAATACAGATAAGCAAAAACGTCCTTCAGAAATCCCCCAAGCAAAAAGTTCAGTGAGAAAGCGGGTCAAGGTTGTCTGATTGCTAGCTGGAAAGGACACACCGACAGATGCCACCTCAATCAGTCTGGGAAGAGCGTGCAGTTGTGGGGAAAAAAGCTCATCCTGTTGTGTAGTACAGCACGAGGGCGCTGTGCGACTTAGCAATGGTTGCCATATGTTAATACACTTATCTCATTGGCTGGTCATGTGTTGTTTGTCACAATTCACGTGTGTACAGTGTGCACAAATCTAAGGCTGGACACTTTTCAAGTAAAACTTTGTATTAGCCCCATTGTGAATGACAAGTTCTCTAAAAAGAATATGAACAGAAGTGTCACATACAATTCGGGCGATTCACCATGCAGTGCGCCACCAAGAGTTTGCCACGGAGAGTTCATTTTTCCCATTGCATGGTAGGAGATGGTCGACAAATTCGCAGCGCGGGACATTTGAAATTGTTCGTTTTTCCAGTCAGTAGTTTCGTAAGGGTATGTTTCGAGTATCTGTTTACCCTTTTTCTTTTCTTTTAATCAATATGGTGTTTTTTGTAAGGCGGCAGAACGCTATGCCCCAATCTATGACAAATTAGCTCCAGTTGTCTACTGACACTCATTCAAATGGGCCATGTTTTGTCGACAGTAAACTGGAAAAATGGACTCTCCATGGCAAACTCTTGGTGGCCCACTGCATTGTGAATCACTGAAGTGTGATTTATAAAATCTACTTTTTTTAAAAGACGGGCCTTTAAAAGGACTTTGTTGAATATTTTAACTTTTAAACTGAGGTTTTATGGCTGGTGATGTTTGAAGACAATTGTAACGACGATTCTTGAAGTAGCATTTTTGGACGAAAGAGGTTTTAGGGTCATTGTGTATATAAGTGCTGTTATTCATTTCAACTTCAGTAATTTTTCCATCTAAAAGTAGCTTATGAAATTGGTTTTCCAGTCATTATTGTTTTTGGTGCTACATATATTTTTAAATATGAAATATAATTTTGGGGGTTTGGGTTCCGCTTTTTTGACTCACCCTGTATAAGCCTGACAATCCAATTATGAGATAAACACATATATTGAAAGGCTTCTTGTATAAATTTCTATACACATTTTTTTCACCAAATCGTCCAAAAAAACGCACTTCGGTTTGCTGGATTATATTCATATTTTGGGAGGCTGTAAATAAAAAAATTAAAAACTGAAACGCACAAATGATACTCCTGGTGAGTGCAGCATGTTAACTGGCGAAAATGTAATGCAGGGAAGATTGTTGGAGACTCTTTCCCAGTTTTGAAATTGAGCCCAGGACCTGTCCCACAGAAATATCTTAACCAATTACTTTCTTATACCCCCTGCACCACTCGCCTTCCTCCCCTTACCCTCCTCCCCCGCCCTTCTCCCCCGCCCTTCTCGCTGCAGATTCACAGGCCTCGTTGGAGCGGAACTTCACAGCTCGGCTTCGCTGCCTACTGGATGAATCATCAGGATTTCTGGTAAGCTTTAGAGCATCCAAGATAATTGACGCCAGAGGTGTCAGATCTCAAAAAAAAATCCTCTTGGTTTTCTCTCTGAAGAGCTTTCCAAAACCTGTTAAAACATTCCCCCACCCCCAATTTTGCTCTAATCTTTCAGAAAATCAATATAGTATCCTTCCTCAAGCCAATCTGTTACTGCTTTTTTACTTTTTTTGGTGGAGGGGAGGGGGGCGGTTGTTTTGTTTTGGATTTGGGGGGGGGGGGGTTAGGGCACTGTCTTTTAGTATTCCTTGTTTCGTACATCGTCGGTTGGTGGAAGAAGGTGATTTTGGCTAAAAATGGGTCAAAAGTCAAATCGATAGAGCATTGAAATATCTTTCATTTGGTATACATTTTGCCCCAAGGGGTACATCATTTTTACGTAATTAACAGAATACAAAAGACGGAAGGAGGTTTTTCATTTTTTTTCCCCCAGCATAAGGACATTATTGTGTAATACTAATGTAAAAAAAAAAACATGTGCCATCCAACATCCCACTGAAGTGGGTAGGTAAAGCCAAGTTTATTCCCGACAGAAGGTCATTATGATTTGATATGTGCCCTTCGTTATGATTTGATATGCCGCTTAAGTGCACATTTAAGGCAGGGGGAGTTCCCTGCAAAAGGTTGTTGGCATAAAACTGTAAATAAATTGAAAATTAAGTAATATTTTTGAAATACAAATGCCCAATGTTATTCAAATTACTAACAAATTTCACAAGTCAAAATGTCAGCCTTATGTGATTTTTAACTTAAAATTGGGAGCACAAAAACGATTAAAACTTGTATTACGGTATCTGCAAAAGTGATTTTGGCATGCCTGGGCTACACGACGACATGTATCCTACATGGGCTGGAAAACAAAGTAGCTTTTTCACTTTCCTTTGTGCCTGAACAAACCTACCCAGTCAGTATGCGTATACCATTACACCCTGGTCTTTGTAGACGGTCATTCCAGACTATTTTGAGGATATTTTCTGTTCTGGAAGGATGGTTTTTCCATGAACGGATTATTATTAATATCTGAGCCCAGTCTGAGAAATTCATTTGGAAACCGGGTGTGATGGGCTAGCCATATGTAAAATGGAGCTTGTTTGTCTCATGGCTACGCTCGGGTGGTCTGCAGATGTGTAGTAGGAAACTCAGGACCGAGAATGTTTTCTTGACAAGAGAGGCTTTTTTTGCCGTGTCTTCCGAAACATGATGAACTTTACCATTTTGTCTTCCTTAAGCTGTTTTTGAGCTTCTGCTGACATTGCGGAGCCACTAAAATCCATTTGGAATGTATTTGTAGAGTGTAACAGATGAGGGAAAAGATATAAAACTTTTAACCAAAACCAAAAAAATAAATCTTATTTTGGTATCATTTAGATTCCTTAAATTTGTTTTGATTGCCTCAGTAAGGATTTTTGTTGCAAATTTTTTTTTTTTTCAATACTTCACCCTTTGCTATTTCAGAATTTTTTTAACCACCTCGTGCCGGGATTATTTTTGCTGAAAATTTCGATTTTTTGAAAAAGGCAAGATACAGCAGCCAACTTTTGATATACAGCCAAACGCCACAAATACTGATTTACAAGAGTAATTTCAACAGTATTTGTAGTCGAGGCACGCTTGACGTTTTAACCCGTCAGCCGTTAACACATCCCGACGCGAAGTGGTTAAGGGGCTTGGCAAGATAAGAACAAGTTCTAAATAAAAATCCTTTGCATATTTCTGAATCCAAAATCCACCACGTTGCAGGACCCCCACTGAATCAGTCTTTTAAATTGGATTTTCAAGGGGCATCAAGCCCCACGTGAAATAGAAATGGCTGCACTCTACCTTCCTCAATCCTTCCTCAATCCTTCAAAACCTCCTGTTAGATTTTGGATAATGCACAAGGGTTATGGTCTACAGGAATGGGTAAATGAAATAGGTTAGTTAAAATTTAAAGAGGTTGTGGAATGCTTGAAGACATTTCCGTCATTTTTTGGGTATATGTAGCCTAAGGTGTGATGAAATAAAAATGACTATTGTTTCTGTCATGAAATGAGTACAAAAGGTACTTTTGAGAGCTGTTTTTCAAGTCCTGTCATGCCTGTTTCGACCCAAACGTGCAATTTGTGTAAAAGTCGTCGTTGCGGGCAGCAAACAAAACACAGTAAATCGTGACGTAATAAACAGGACTCCCGATGCAGAGTAGCATATACGAGTCCTGTTTATTACGTCACGATTTACTGTGTTTTGTTTGCTGCTCGCAACGACGACTTTTACACAAATTGCACGTTCGGGTCGAAACAGGACCTGAAAAACAGCTCTCAAAAGTACCCTTTGTACTCATTTCATGACAGAAACAATAGTCGTTTTTATTTCATCACACCTTAGGCTACATATACCCAAAAAATGACGGAAATGTCTTCGAGCATTCCACAACCTCTTTAAAGAATGAATTTGAAACTAAAATAAAGAAAAATTGTTTCGCCCACAGAATCTTCAGATTACCGGTCGGCTGAGACCTCTGTTCGGCCAGCGTATCCGGGGGGAGGACGGTGTGCCAGTGGACATCGACCCGCCAGACATGGCACTCTTCGCCATCGTCTGCCCCATGCAGCAGCCCTCTATCATGGAGATCTACGTCCGCAACATGATCTTCCGAACCAAGCACGAGCTCAACTTCAAAACCATCACTCTGGATAGCAAGTAAAGACAAAAAAAATCCTGCTGGCTTCGGTTGATCTGTGGTTTACTTGAATCAAAAATTGAGATGAAATTAGGAAGAAAATGTATTATTCTGTTTTTTTTGTACTGCACACTCTAAAGGAATTTCAACTCAAAAAAGAACTTCATTGGCGTCCAGTTGATCAGAGGATTTCATATAAGACTAAATCAGTCTTTAAAAAAAAGTTTGAGAAAAGAAAACCCTTTCAAACTCAAAACTCAAGTGAGGAGTGAATCTTCCCAAAAATAGTTGCCAACATCTGTTGAACAAATGTTGCGGGGGAGGGGGGGGGGGGACAGGCACATACACCTGCCGTTTAACATGCAGGAGACACATGTTCCCATTTGAAAAGGGAACAGGAACTTTGCTTCTGGAAAAATTAGGTCACATCCTGTGCGCACATGGATTATGTCGCATTTCGTTGAATTTGGAATGTTTTGTTTGACAATGCAAATAATTATGTTTGATAATAATGACATGGGATCATTTCATATGCAGTGAGTGCCTTAACCCTAAAAGGGCCGGGTTATTTTGACCATCTCTCAGCCGGGGGGTCCGCGCCCCGCCCCCCTAAGATCTCGGCCATCGAGTGACGAAAAATTATGAAACTCAGTACATGCATAGAGCAACTCATCATGAACATACCCAAGAATTTCATGACTATAGGTCAAAGGGTTTTGGAATTATGGCTAATTAATTGTCCATATGTACGAATGGTAATTCTGTTTTGTGTACACTAAGTATATGGGGAAATTCAGTTTTCACGGGGCTTAGCGCCGGAAATTTTTCGCTGCGTGGCAACCCTGGTCTGAATTTTATGTTTTTGGTATCAAAAGATGTACAAGACTCAAGGCTAAAAAGTCGGAACAGCTCGGGTTGCGGAAAAAAATTGTTTCAAGGCTATCGCTGAAAAATTCTGGCAACTTTTTTGTGCTGAAACTACCGGTAGTTGTAATATTGAGGTTTCTGCCTGAAATGACATTATACTTCTGCTCAGGAATGTGGAAATTTGCAGTAGCATTAAAACCAAATTGGCACCAAAATACCCTTGAAAATGGCAAAATGGAATTTGAAAATAAGGTTAAAGGGAATATACAACATTTGCTTTTGCTGTAATTTTCAGAAATGGATGGATTTGGGAGGGGGGGGAGGTTAATATATATAGCAAATGTTGTTACACTGACTTGCTGAAAAAACTAAGAAAAACATTTGTGTTCTTGTAGTCTGGTTCCCTGACCCAACTTAAGATGAAACAGAGCCATTTATAATCGTCTTTAAATTGAAAGATCAGGGAACTTTTCTAGCTGGCTTGTACCCATTCAAATGCGGACTAGCTAAAGATGTTACATTTCTGGCTGTATTTGAAAAAAGCAAGTAACTTTCCAACGCTGGTCAGCCGACCAGCGTTGGAAAATACAGTTTTTCTTGAAAATGTCAGCACACCAGGTGCCATGATTTTACAGGATGCCTGAGACTGTCATTCACTAACAGTCCAGTAAGGTATTTCATGATAATTGGGTACTTTTGTTTTTTGATGTTTGCAAATGTTGTACCATATATTCCCTTTAAATGGGACACAAAGGTTCATTTTCAAGGATTGCATTGAAAAAAAATTACATTCCATGGACCCCTAAATCAAGTAACAATGAAAATGCGCAAGAGATTTTCTCATGCCTATCCAAGCGGTACAAAACCACTGCCCACTGACTATTTGAACAGATTTTCAGGATTGCGCCATTGACTAACAATTGTGTGAGTTCACTGTTTTATTTTGATATTTTTTTCTTTGTAGGGCCGAGGACGTCCTAGGCTACAATGAAGCCCAGTTTAAGATGGTCACCGGTTATCACTACTTGCACTACGAGGACATCATCTACTGCTCCGAAATGCACAGCAGTTGTAAGTTTACTCACTGGATATAAGCAATTCGGCTTAGCCTATCCGGTTCTGTTAAGCAGCAAGAGGTGAACAGCAGATTGTGTTAAGCAAAATGTGTTGCTAAGTTAAAGTCAGCTGCTGCTGATTTGCTCATCAAAACATTCATGCTATTCATAAGATGGAATTTGCGTTGGGGTGATGTAAATCAATATGAGGTTTTGCCCTTCACAACGTATAAACACTGTCTACTTAGTGTGTTACCTCCCGAGTGAAAGTTGGAAAATCACTCGGGTGGGACTCGTACCCACGACCTCCTGCTTTCTAGTGCAGACGTCTTACCACTCAACCACCGAGCTTGCGGGATCGGTTGGCTGGTTTGAATCTGACGTACATGTAGCTGCAGGTACCGCAATTAAACTATTCACAAGATGGCATTTGCGTTAAGGTGATGTATATCAATATTAGGTTTTGCCCCTCACCGACGTATAAACACTGTATACTCAGTGTGGTACCTCCCAAGTGAAAGTTGGAAAAAAAATTGTTCATAATTAACAGATGATTTTTTTCCGGGGACGTTCTTCTTGATTGGAAAGTTGAAAACTTCTCATGTGTTTCACTTTTGAATTACTATAGACAGGGAAATGATAGCCTTAATAATGCACCCATTATGCACAGTTGAAAAGGTCGGATGTATTTCACGATGCATGAAATATCAAAAGATGAATTGCGTTACTGATGTGAAACCAACTGGCGACTGTTACTTTGGCTAGAAATATGTACATAGAATTCATGCCTGGATGACTAGCATACAAAATTTACCTAAACAATGTAGTTTTTTGTAGTGGTGGGAGGAGTCGGAGATTTCAAAATCCGGTTATCATAATTTTCTTCAAACTGAATAACGGTTATCTAATTTCACCAAGAGTTCCCCCATCCAGCACACAGTCATGCCAACAAATAGTGATGAGTTAAGTGCCACATGAAATGTCCTCCCAATGACTGGGTATAGTCACTGATCTTTATATAAAGACTGGATAGCTAATAAAGAGCCGCACAATGAATGAATTTGACGCCATATTGGTGAGACCGGTGAGACCGGCTGGTGATCTACAAAGTTGCCGTCTTATATAGACAGCATAATTTCTTTTGTAACGTCGCAGCGCGGTTCACTTGACTTATATTTTGACCACCACCACTGACCAACTGACCAAAGTTTACCACAATTTTTCTAACGTTGTGGTTACTTTTATAATGCTGCAGATCACTTTTTCGGCGTTTTTGAAATAATAATCACTACGGAAATGTGTCCCTTTTAGAACATCATAATATGTGTACGTGACCAAAATGCGAGTCAACTGTTGATACAACGCGTGCGTATTTACGCGTAGAACGCTCGTATTATACGCGGCCATCTTCGTGAGACCGGGGGCGAATTGGTCAATATGCAAAGTCTACTGTGTGAATGTTGTATGCATATCCGCCATCCAGTCTTTATATAGAGATCAGTGGGTATAGTGTGCAGGATTCAATGACCACTGGGCCTTTACAAAAACACTCCAAAGCTGTAATGTTGAGAAAAAAATGGACGGGAACTCTCTGATAAGTCAAATGGGTATTCTATTCACAGACCAAGAAGACAACTAGCAAGTGAATGCAGTGACAATCGGAGACCATTGAACATATTGGGGGATGTTTCAGTTATTTTCTTCAGCAAAATTCAAATTTTGAAATCCGAATTTAAAGCCCACCTCTAGTTTTTTGGTCAGTTCCTTAGCTAGCCGAAAACCAAAATAGCTATTTTTTACCTGAAAACCACAAGCGAAATTCAACAGATTTTCAGCTCGTTTAATTTTGTCGCGGCGATTTTATCAAACACACCAACCTAAAAGCCCTAAAACCCCATAAACCACATCACCCAACGCAACCCGCAAGTGTCTTGAACTTCAAATCTTCCTGCCTACGCCAATCACCATAAAAGTATCATCCCTCAACAATTACCAAAAAATGCTTAAATGAAAAGTTTCCGTCACCGCGGTGACATAGCAGATTTTCCCCCAACCGTTTTAGTACCCCTTCCCCCTACCCTCCCCGACCCCCTTGTGGGGCTGACTCAGTCGACAGTCTGCCGCCACATATGCCGGTTTATTAGACTCTTGGCACTGTTTGTGTTTACTCACTCACGACCCGTTCTGACGCAGGAAAAAAAACCTCCCAATTCTACCATCATCCAAAGTTTTGCAATCGCAAAGTCATGCCGTAAGAAATGTTCCCTAACTGAGTCAAATAGTTTGGCTTCCCTACAAGAATTGTATTCGTTTCCTGCCTTGCATGTTAGGTCACATGAGAGGCACATGAAATCATGTACATTTTTGGAAGGTGAGGGAGTCCAATCAAGCTGGTGGTCACGTTGTGGCCTTGGGCAAGACACTTGACCGACACTCGGCTCTCTTCAATCAGTTTTAGAAACCTTTTGATATCTACACTTGAAAGTTTGATGAGTCTGGCAAGGTTAAGATACTATGCAAAACATGGGTGCATAATCTGCTAAAAACTAGGGTTTTCAACCCCACCACCCAAGAAATTCCTGCCCAACATTCAACTGAAAGTAAAGGATGGTCCAAAAAACGTTTACAATTTTTCAGAGGCAGATTTCTCAAAATTGAAGAGACATGTTGAAATTGTTTTAAGATATTCCTAAACTACCAGATATTGGTGGTATATGGTGAGAACGGCGTTGAAAATAAAACTCAAGTGAAGAAATAGCGGCCATTTACAGAAGAATGGTCAAAAACTAGTTTGTTCGCGTCTATGGCAGTCATGTAGACCTAGTGACAATTATAGCAGTTCTTTGTGCACGCAGTCCTATTGTGTTGACCATATCTCATAGACTTGCGTGTGGACAAACTGGTTTTTGACCATCTTTCTTTAAACCATCGCCATTTCTTAAATTAAGGCTTTATATTCAGCGCCGTTTTCACCGCATACCATGAAGATGCTGTAGTTCTAGGAATATCTTGAAACAGTTTTAACATGTCTCCTCAATTTCAAGAAATCAGCATCTGAAAAAAATGTAAACGTTTTTGGACCACCCTGTATCACATGAGTGTTATGCACCGTAAGCATCCTAATTTTTAAAATTCTTTGAAAAAAGAAAACATGCTTATCATGAAAAGCAATCCAGCTCTTTGCATCTAAGAAAGTAATTCCCTTCTCATCTCCATGCATCTTTCCACATTCCTAAACCCTCTCCTCGTTACATTTCCCCCCCCCCCCACCACCACCACCCCCTCATTCTACATTTTCCAGATGTCATTCTCGTGATCTGAATAAAAGTCCCAATTCATTCCTTTCCTCCTATAAAAGACGATTGAATTTCCGTCCCAGCTTTGCCCCAGTGTAATGACGCCTCAGCTTAAGTTTCAGGCGGCCATCAAACGGGGGATAAATGCTTGCCATCCTGTGCAGGTTCCCTGTTAGTCAGTTTCCTTCCGAGTTGACTTCCATCTTCATTTCATCTTCCAAAGACACATTTGAGGCATCGATGTCATCAATGTTTCAAGTAATTTCCTAGTGCAGATTGTACACATCACACATCCTTTTTACCCCATGTGCTAGTTTTTACATTTTAAACGAAATTGAAGTGATAATCTCCATATTTAGTGTTTTCTCCACAGTAAGTGTCAGCATACACCTTTAATGATGTCTATCTCTCGGCAAAAATCCATTGAACAAGACTGCGCAAGTCTACTAAAGCTGGTCCCAGAGTGCACACAGTTCTATTCCGTTGATTCAGAATGGCTATTCACTGGAAATATTATTATTATTATTATTTTTGATTATTATTATTATAATAACAAGGATACCCTTTGGGAGACACGTTAGCGTCATAAGTTATACCTTTGTGAGACACGTCGAAGTAGGGAGACATTTCAATGTCTCCCTTATTCCACATCCCCTACTTAGAGGCAAAATTTTATTGTCGCAAATAGGCTGGATTGATTGCTCATGGTCCAATTAGTAAAAATACCGAAATTCGTGGGGGTAGGAAAAGGTAAAATTGGGGTTAGGGGTCATTAAAGTTGGAAAAAAATATGTGCACAAGTCTATGGGGATGTCTCACTAATACCCAATTATCGGTAATATTTTTATTATTATTATTAACATCAATTTATGTGATGAAACCAAGGATTCCTCAAAAGCCCCCTAGGCTCTGTAGCTCGCAAGCCTGAAGAAACCTGTAGAGAGGAGACAATAAGAAGAAGTTACAGTTTTAGAGGTTGGAGGAAAACCCAGGAGAATATTTTTGTCAGTTCAGTACGTAACATCCCTTAGCTGCAATTGGCTGAATGAGAACGTGTGCCAAATGCTGAATTCAGGGGCAATTCAAAACACGACTCAGCAACTTTTGAATTGAAATCGAGATTCTAGAATATTCATTTCTCGGAATATGCAGCTAAAACTAGTTGCTTAAGCACCCGTATTTAGATTTTGAGTACTTCTGTTGCCTCAAACAAACAAAAAATGCACAAATGAGAAATGATCTACCCTACCCGTGAGCAGCGCTATGAAATTGGTCCCAATATGTCTGGTATGTTAAATGTTGCTCTCGCTCGTTGGTACCAGTGGACAACAATTGCATCAAATCAGAAATGCCATTCAATAATCTATGCTACAGTTTGTCCTTTGTCAACTGATGACTTGGATATAAATTGAAGATGGCATTGACAGACAGACCCACTGTCCACATTTAAATTCCTAAACTGAAGACGGAAATTCTAACTGTTGAATTTGTTCATTTGCTGTACAATACTTATGCCCAAATAATATACAATCAGCCTGGAATTGTCCTATCGCTGTTTGCGAGGTAGCCAGGATCTTAGACAACCCTATGGAAATTGTGTACGTTAAGTTTTGTTTATCTCAGATTTTGCGCGTTCAGCGTCCATTTGCATATCATGTAATTGGACAATATTTAACAAGCTGCGTTACGCGATTCTACCGTGATACGTTAATTGTAGACC